GGGCATGTGGCTGGGGGGGGCCGCCCCCGGGCGGGCAAGTGTCCCCGCCCCCTGGCGCCCAGCGGGCGAACGGCCACGCCCCCTGGCGCCCGCCAACCTGAAAAGGTTGGGGACCACTGTTCTAGATGGTGGCACTAGAAAGGGGGCTGGAGTCCAGGGTGGGGCTCCCTCCTCTTGCTCCAGTCAGAACGGAGTCTCATTCTACCCGGGATCAGTTCCTGGACTGGCGTGCGTCAGAAGAGCTCTATTCACTTCAGTGGACCTATGACCACGTCCACCACTTCCTTTCCATGCCAGCCTCCAGTGACTACCAAGGAACCTCAAAAATTGAGGAAGAAGGGATCTTGAGCAAAAGGGGTTTTTTGCGCAACAAGGCGCCATCTACACAGTGCTTTTTTGTGCAAAAACCTCTTCCACAAAAAGGATCAGAAGAAAATATGCAAATGAGAGCATGAGATATGCAAATGAGCACTCTATTTGCATTTTCTTTTCCGGAAAAATTTCTTAGTGTAGCTGTAGCCCTACGGGTAGCTGGTGTTTCCTCCAGCCTGGCCAGCCCTAGATTTATCAGTACTTCACGGGTATTCATTCCTATTTATGTTTTTCCTGAAAGATGCAAACAGAAAATAAACTGCAACCTTTGACTGTTCCCAGCCACTTAAAACTATGACCCCAGAGCGTAAAGTGCGACTCTCGTTTCAGATGGCCAGCTGTGTATAAATCCTGCCCACTATGCCACTATGGCACGTCAGGGTGCAAAGCAGACCAATGAGGGGCCGTGCCACCCCTAAAGGAGAAGCCGACAAAAAAAACAGGGACACACTTCACTCATGCAACTCATGGTGCCAGGGTTCCCCTCACGAAATTAACTCTTCTGGGGCCACCCTAGGCTATGGAGAGGTTCAATGTGTGGGAGGGCGCTGCCAGGGAGTGGGCTCAGTTGGAGGTGTGGGGTCTGGGCAGGAGGTAGGGTGCAGGAGCGGGTTGGAGGTGCGGGGTCTGGGCAGGAGGTAGGGTGCAGGAGGGGGTTGGAGGTGCGGGGTC